ATATGAAGTCTCACTGTGTTGGCTAGGCAAGTTTTGAACTCCTAGAATCAAGGGATCCTCCTGCCTCAGTCTTCTGAGTGCTAGGATTAAAGTGTGTACATACTACTGTGTCTGATGTAAGTGCAATATAATTTGAAGACTGCATGACAAATTCTAAATGAACATTTGGTTGGTTCTAAGAGATTCAGATTTACGGTCCCTTTTGAGATGAAGAACCTTCTAGTCATGGCAAAAAGTTTCTTTGTGCTCTGTTGCCCCTCCCTCACTGTGAACTCTAACCCCTATGTCCCTTAGCAATCACTAATTTATTCTTAATTTTTTTTCTGCATTCCAAGATATAGATAGATGCCTATTCTATATTTTCATATAAATAGAGTGCTTTAGTTAGCTCTTTCGCTGCTATGACTAAAGGACTCGACTGGAACAACTGTAGAGGAAGAAAGGTTTATTTAGGACTCATGGTTTCAGAGGTCTTAATCCATAGAAGGCTGGCTCCATTCCTTGGGGCTTGAGGTGAGGCTGAACAAACATCATGGTGGAGTGTGTGGCAGAGGGAAGCAGGTCACGTGGTGATCAGGAAGCAGATGGAGAAGTCTCCACTTGCTAGATACAAATATACACCCCAAAGCCACACCTCAATTCCCACCTCTCTAGCCACACCCTACCACTTCAATTACCACTCAGTCAATCCCTATCAGGGGATTAATTCAATTATTGGGTTAAGATTCTCACAACCTAATCATTTCTCTTCTGAACCTTCTTACATTGTCTCACATGTGAGCCTTTGGAGGACACCTCACATCTAAACCATAACATTAGAGTTATAGATAATGAACTTTTTTTTTTTATTACTTGACGTTTATTTCTGGGTTTTGCCTTATGTTGTTAGTTGTAATAGCATTTCATTTTTAAATTGCTCTATGGTATTGCATCATACAAGTATACACAATTTACCATATGCCTCATTCTGATGGATCCCTGGGTTTTTTTTTTTCTGTTTGGTTTTTCTTTTTTTGTATTTATTTAGAGATGAGTCCCTAAATAAAATACAAAATAGGACTGGGGATGTGACTCAGTGGTTGAGTGTCCCTGAGTTCAATCCCAGGTACCCAAAAAAACCCAAAAAACAAAAAACCAATATTCTGCATTACCTTGGATTTGTAATAAATTTGTATATTATACAAATTGTGTTATAAATTTTGTAAATATACATTTGAAAATAAAATCTTAAATTGTACATCAGTGCTATAATAGTTACATCATTGGTTCATTATTTTTTGACTGTTTATAAATTATTAAAGTTTGATTTCATTTTATACTTTTACTTTTAACCATCTTATTGATTTTTAATAGCACATATCAGACTAGGAAAATGTGTTATGTGTTTTGTTCCAGCAATTGTTTTACCAAGTGAAAATATTCTATAGTTCTCTATTATTCTCTATCATTTCAGAATGCTGAGGCTTGGAACAATTTATCAACCTCCTACATCCGATTAAAGCAAAAGTAAGTATATCAGACAAATCTGAAGAACTTTGCTTCCAAAATAAATGAGATTTTCTTCAATCACCATAAGAATCACCATGTCTTACACTTTATCTTTTTCCTTTCCACCCTCATACATTAGTTAGAATCAGTTAATAGACACCTTTGAATTCTAAATGTGCAGTTTGCTTATTAAAAATATTTAACATGGAATAAAATAAGAAATAGCATCTGAAATTTTTCTAATGCTGAGGTCTTACATCCTAAATTTCATTACATAATGAAAGCAAGCGTGCCTTTAGTTGGTTGACTTAATTGATAGTTTAAAAAATTTTTTTTATTAATTGCTTGATTTAAACTAGACATTTGTTGAAATACATAAATATATCTGAATGAACTAGTGTCTTCAGGAAATGTAAGTTTAAAAAATAAAATATCCCACGTTATTTTAAAAAGTGATTAGCAGTATAAGCTATATTTGGTAAATATCAGATGAGAATCCAAAGAGGGCCATAATAATAATAGATGATATTTGTAGAACACTTGTTTTGTTTTAGACACTCATTTAGTCCTTTGAGAATCTCAGAAAAGAGAAGGTATGTGATCCTGGGTCAGAAATGCTTATATTGAACTCAAGCTAAATTTGAAAGATGGATACAGGGCACATAGGATAGCTTTTTAGGCAAGGAAATAATGTGACTAAATGTAGATGACAGAAATGAATGGATTATTTTAGGAGATAGTCCAGCTATAGAGTAATGCGGGACCTGCAATGAAAGATAGGTCAGAAAGGTAGGTTTGGGTCAAATTGGTGTGCATTCTGATTGTTTGACTCACAAGTTTGAGACTATACCACATGTAATGGGGAAGTCAGAGATTTTGGTGGGGGTAATTTCATAAAGAAAGCATTTTAGGAAGATTTATCTGGGGAAAGTTTGTGACACAGACTAGAGAGGAAACTGGAGGTTGGGAAGCCAGTTAGAAAACAGCTGTTGTAACAATCTAAGCATGAGATAACTAGAGTGGAAAAAGAAAGGGCAGATGCCAAACAGTTTATAAAGGGGACAGCCAACTGGGCTTATTGACTGACTACAAAAAGCAGAAGGAAGAAAAGGGATAAGAATTGTTGTTGCTAGAGTTTTAATAAGTTAATTTAAGGATGAATATATTTACATTTTTATTTGGCATTATTTTAAAACTTAATTTTTCTTTGTGGAATCACAAGATAGTTCTGAAGATACCATTAAACCATATTACTGAGATCATGAAATGCTTCCTCTACTCTTGTATGATAATCTACATAAAGCACTATTTGTTTTACCATTCTCTTCAGAAAATAATATTATGTTCTTGATTACAACTGATTATGTGAAACCCACTAGAGATCCCTTTTCGGTCTAAAACATCGGGTGGGGGAAATCCCTGTCATAGTTGTAAAGTGATCTCAATTAGTTTTTCTAGTAACCCAGATAATTTATATCTAGTGAGGGTCTTGATATTTTTACCTTGTGTTCCAACCCAATAATCTTAGGAATTCTGTAGAGATAGGTCCTGTAAATTGCTTCTCAACTTCTTTATAATTCTTTCTTGCCTTTCTATTACTCCATTAATAAGTTTTTGTGTGAAAACTGGGTTGCAAGGTCAGAGGTAAATAATTTCTTTATTCTTGCTTCTTTACTGTTTTCTTTCTGTTTCCTTTCCTTTACTGTTTCCATGGCTCCAGCCATGGCTAGGTTTTATTTTGTGAAGTTGTTACTTCAGAGGTAAATTATTATATTTTTATTTTTAAAAATATTTTTAGGTGTAGATGTACACAATACCTTTATTTATTTTTATATAGTGCTGAGAATCAAACCCAGTGCCTCACACATGCTAAGCAAGTTCTCTGGCACTGAGCCATAACCCCAGCCCAGAGGTAAATTATTACTGCTCCTCTCAAAACAAACATATTCTAAAGTTTAACATATTCTAAACATATTCTAGAAACTACATTTTTATCACAGGATTCTTCACTAGTGTTTTTTGCACTTTTTTGTCTAATTTCCTGCATCAGTATCTTGGGAAAGTTTCCCATTTTGTATATAACTTCTCATAATGCAGTATCAGTATTGAAATGGATTTAATAAGTGAATCCTGATGTAAAGTTCCTTAAAAAGAAGGTATACTTTCCAGGAAGAAAAAAAATAATTCATTTTAAAAATGTTGAGGCCAGTAGCTTATGATTAGAGTAGGCAAAGACATGAGGAGAAAGGATAATCTCAATAATTGTGGATTGCTGCTTATTGATTTCTTTCCAATAGGGTAATTTTATATTTACTCTCTGTAAATGAGAGAACTAAAGAGTCCCAATCCACTACTATTGAAGGCAGTTACTATTATATATTTGATGGTGGTAGGGGTGGAATAGAGAAGGAAAAAAATGAAAGAAAAACTCCTAGAAACAATTTATATTTGATTTTGAAGAAGTGTTTCTATTTTTTCTTAATTTCCTTTTGTTTTTACAGGAGGGGAACCTTTTATAGTTCTTTTAGTTAGGGTCAGTAAGTGGTTAATCTTTATATATCTAAAAATATTTGATTGTGCATTTACTTTTGAGTGGCAAGTTGAGTTGGCTATAAAATTTTAGGCTGGCAGTTATTTTCATTCAGCACTTTAAAGGAAATATTCTATTTTTTTATCTTGTAACTGTAGACATACTTGCTAATCTTCGGTTGTTTTTCCTTTGTTACTTTTATCTTTATGTTCTACTATTTCACAAAATATATACGTGTTGATTTATTTTTATTTGTAATGTTTAGTATGCAATATATACTTTTGATCGTAGAATTTAGGTCTTTGTTCAGTTTTGGAAAATGCTTAGCTATTATTTTTGGATATATAGCTTCATATAATTTCTGCATTCACTTCCTCTGGAATATCTATCAGATGTGTATTTGAACCTTACCTCATTCTTTCCTCTGTTCATAGTTATTTCATTTTTTAATTTGATTTTTTTGTGAAATCCTCATTATTATCTTGTAGTTGACCAGTTTTCTTTTGACAATTTGCAGTCTAATTTTGGTTACCTGATGAGTTTTGGTTTTTTGCTTTGAAGTTTCTTTTAATTGTAAAGTTTTCAGGTTTTTTTTCTTGTCTTGTTTCATTTGTACCTGTTTCACAATCTCCTGTTCCCTTTAAATATTTCTTTCAGTATTCTGAACAAACTTGTTTAAAAATTTGATAGATTATTTTTTAAAATTAATTTTATCTTTAGCAAATTTGTGTCCTCTGGTTAATTTTGTTGGTTGTCTTTCCTAGTGTAGATTGCCCCCCCCCCCCCCGCCAGCATTGGTTGGGAAATTTTGGTTTATAGATTCATGTAGAATGTGAGGAACTTTTTGGGTTTTTTGACTTCCTTACGTCTGCTGTCTTCCCTACTGCTTTGCTTCCTACTGTTTGTCTTGCAGGTTTGCAGTTGTGCTTGCTTGACCACTCAGTCCAAGTCTGGAACTTGAGTGGGCCTTTTCCTGGATGACATTTGAGGCTGACATCCAGTTATAATATAATATCCTTATTACTAATAAATAGATTAGGGAAGGAGTAACTCTGTAGGTATGCTATATATATATACCAAAGGGCCTGTCGTTGAATTTTATAGGGAAGTTTGAGGTAGATTGGGCGTTCTGTTTATTAACATGAAACTTGAAGGCCTAACAGTTCACACTAACATTCTAAATACTTATGATTGATTTTAATAAAAAGTTCTTTTGTTCTCTTTTAAAATTTTACTTTCAATAGAGTAAAAGCTTTTAGAACATTACAAGAAGCCCTCAAGTGTAACTATGAACACTGGCAAATCTGGGAAAACTACATCCTCACCAGCACTGACGTTGGGGAATTTTCAGAAGCCATTAAAGCTTATCACCGGCTTTTGGACTTACGAGACAAATACAAAGATGTTCAGGTAGGATATTCATATTGTGTTGTTTCAGTTGGTGTTTTATATTAATCTTGATTACATGATATAAATTGTTCCATTGGATACTGTATGTGTTTGTTGAATACATGTAATAAATAGAATTATTTTTTCTTCATTCAGAATTCTTATGTTAAATGTATCTGTGCACTCATAAACTGAATATTACTGCGACTCAGTTATGATAATCTGACATGTGGTTTATATATATACTGTCAGTTTGCAGAAACCCAATAGAATGCTCTTTATATTATTTGCTACTTTGAGCAACTCAATGTATACTGTGATTTGTAGAGCTGGAGTAAATCCTATACTCACTTGTTTAATCATTTCATAAGCATTTACTGCATACTTTCAGAGGGTATAAACAGTATAGAACTGATAGATAACCCTTTCTTTGCAATGTACAATTTTTGGTGTAATGAAGTTACCCTTACAGAAAAGATGGGCGATTTGGCCACTGTGTTTGTTATCTAATAGAATTAAATAAAAAGACCTTTCAGGAAAAATGCAGTTGTGGATAATGTACAAAGTTATGGTATGCAGGAGCTTATAGAATATGAAGTCAGGGCTAGAAAATTTAATGCTTTATATCTTAACACTTGTAGTAATCAACATATGCTATTTAGAATGATAAACTTCAGGCTGGGGGTAGAGTGCTTGCCTAGCACATGTAAGGCCCTGAGTTTGATCTAAAGGTCACGTGTATGCAAAGATGAATTTGAAATCTCGAAAAAGCAGAAATAACAACAAATACATGATAATACCTTAGTAGCCCTAGGACATGTTATTTGTACCCCAGTTGTTCTAAAATGTAACTTATCAGATCCCTGCCCTAGAGCCCCAGCCTTTGACTTAAATGCCTGGTCTTGGAAGCACAGCTGTATAATTGACCTAGTTATCTTTAGGCTCCAGTTCATGCAATCCATTTGAAAGATTATCCGGTTCTAATGAAACCGTATACCCACTTGGAGGAGCTATATTAACCCCTTCAAATACTTTTCTTTCTTTTCCTTGTACTTTCTAAATATTTCATATTGAGAGCATCCATTACAGAAAGAAGGCACTTGAATTTTACAGTTGAAGGTGGCTTAAAAAGTGAAGAGTGGCACAGCAGAGTTTTTAAATGAGCTTGCACAGTGCCCCAGCATTCTAGCACTTGTCCTGTCTACATGGCTGCAGTTCTCCATGGAGACATTCATTCTTCTTCACACCTCACCCCATGGCACCTGTGCTGATATGGCCCAAAGCAAATGAGAGGACTGAGGATGCTATTTATCTTTTGTATACTTAAGTGGTTTCTAAAAAAGATCTTTCTTTGGTAAGAATGCTTTCTGAATTCTGTCCTAAAAAAACGAGATAAACTTGAAGTTAATTCTGTTTTCTTTCACATATAAAAAATACAACACTTCTCATTTAGACAGTGCTGCTAACTGTCAGAGCACGAGAGGACCTTGGTGCTGCCCTCCAGGGCTGGGCTAGGCTAGCCTGCACACCTCATCAGGAGGACAATGTGCCGCTCCTTCCTTCTTGACATGAGCAGACACAGGTCTCTGTGCCGTCAGTTTGCTCTTCTCTCCCATTGGTGTCTGCGCTGCTCTTGGCTGTGTCAGCGCCTCCTTAACTGGCCTCATTGATCAGCTTCTGTCAGGTGCCTCCAGTTTCAAATCCCTCTGCTTGTCTTACTGATGCGAGTGGGATTTCCCCTCTTAATCTGTACTTTAGCCCACGGTAATCCTTCATATCTGCTAAGGATTAGTAACCATGGGCTCACCAGATTGGCGTTTTGGACCCTGAGAAAATCTCAATCATCCATTCATGCTTGGCATCAATATAAGTTAGTTTTATGTAAAGAACCCAAATGGCTAGCTCTAGGCCCTCACCCCCAGAAGAGATAAACTTGTGTTTGTTCTGGATTGTAAGCATCAGAGGAAAGGGCTTTCTGGTTCTCTGCCACTTATTCTTTCTTGTTTTCCAAGGCACATAAAGCAGTCAAAGTGGGACATGATAAAGTAATAAAAACTAACATTTACCAAGAGCTCCCTGTGTGTCAGACACTATTCTAAGAGCTTGACTTGTATTAGCTCATTTAATTCTCACCACAGCTGCATTAGATAGATTTGTACTGTCAATAAGCTGTATCTGACTCTGGAATGTAAGTGCTCCTTGCCCCCATTAATTTCCATATTTTAAGGGAACTAATGATACCAGTCAGAAAAACCGTTCAGAGATTGTTTTGAGAGTTATAAAGTCACCAAGATAATGCTTTGTAATTGACTGCTCTATTAAGTACACTAAATCTTGCTAACTCTATATCTGAGAGTCTTATTTGAAACAAAGGCATGGAAATATAAAAACAATTGCTTTATTGAAGGTGATTTAAAATAAAATAGACACCTTCTGGATCATTCCAGTCCCTTGCAATTGCAATAGTTGAAAAGGAATTAGAGAATTCTATTTATATTTCTTTTTCCCATCCCCCGCAGTTTAGGAATGTCATTCGTTCTCAGGATGAAAAAGTTTCTTATGAATGTTTAGGTAATACTTCTGTATTTGAATATCTGTAAACATATAGGAGAAGTAATGTTTAGAATAATCTTATTGTTAGTCACAATAGTAGACACCAACGGAGACAATTCTGGCAAAATAACCTGAGAATAGTTAGTTGATTCTAAAACTTTCAGTTGTAGATTTGGCCTGTTGTATACTAAGTTCAATTCATTGTAATTATACCACTTGCTTAGAAATCTTTCAGCAACCCTACCTAAGAAAAAACAAACAGACCCAAAGTTCATGGAAATGTATTTTAGCATTTTTCAGAAGAGTGAAGCAAAACAAAACAAAGCACCAAACTTTCCCCAGCATGAATTGAGGTGCTTTGACTTTTACCTGAAATGGATTTTTCAGACATATATTGCTGATCATATTCATAGCTTCTCACCCCTTTAATCATAGGGAAGTTTCAACTCTAGCAAAATATGTTCTGATTCCCATTTAATTTTTTCTAATCTTATTCCTGTCTTACTACAATAATTATTTTATATCACTCTAAAACTAAGTGAAAATTGAGTTGTTTTGTAGATAAAATTATTAGGGTTTTATTTAAATTCATGACAAGGTAATATTTTAATTTCTTTTTCCTCCAATTCTTCCTTTGTTCCTTTGTTTCAGAATATGAAACAAACTTTCTTTTGTACATTACTATTTCATCTGAGCATGAATATTTTGATGAGCTTGAAATTAGTTTTTATCAAAGTTAAGTACTTTTGGAAACAATCAAAGGCAGCCTTTAGATTCTTGAGACTTCCCTCCTACATCCCCACTCCACACACAGGGACCAGGAGTTGTTCCTGTTCTGGGAAATGTTGCACATAAACAGAGCACTTAGAGAAGCATAACATGCCGTTGTGAAGGTTATGTTAGATGTTATGTAAATTCACATTTGGATTTATTGGGGAAATGTTACTGAGAGCATAACCAGGGACTTACTCAGGTCAAACTCTCATCTTCAGCACCAAGATAATAAAGACTGATAAAGTCACCAAGATAATGTTTTCAGGTATTCAAATAGGAGATAGCCATGGTGAGATAATTTGTCTGTTTATATTGTGTGCAAGTCCTGTCAGTGGCTCCCTGTAGGATTTTTGGTGAATTTTTGTTTATTTGGTGCTAGGGATTGAACCACATTTAACTACTGAGCCAAAGTTGCTTAGCATCTCGCTAAGCTGCTGAGGCTGGTTTCAAACTTGAAATCCTCCTGTCTCAAGCCTCCCAAGTCACTGGAATTATAGGCATGCACCCCTGTGTCTGATTCAGTAGCTCCCTTTAGAAGCAATGTAGAATTCTGCTGTCACTATGCAGTTTCTGGTGGGTGTGGGTGGAATCACTCTATAGTGGTTAGGTCGTCATTGATAGAAAGTCATAATGGCTAGTGATAGGTATTTCCAGCTTTGTGGCATACTCTTCCAACTCGTCTCATACTCTGACAACTAGTCTCAGTGTGCAAGAGACAGTTGATAGATTGCCTGGAATATTTTTATCTTGGGTAAAAAAAATTGTCCTTAATTTGACTCTATGTGTTTGGCAACAGTTGTCTTTCAAAAAATCTCTGATATTTTCATGTTTGACACTACCTGACCCCATTCTATTTTAATTTGGTTCAAAATTCTTTTTATCTGTTTTTTTCTATTTCTTTATAGATACTGATTATAATGATGTTAATTCTTTTTTATTGTAAGTTTATGAGAATATGTAAATTTACACCCATTTTAATACAGACACAGAGTAAATTAGCCTCAGATCATTCTGGGATTTTTCCTCCTCCAGTGTTTGTAATAAAGGAATACCATTTTTGTTTCTTCCATGTCCTAATCTTTTTTAAAAAAATATTTATTTTTTAGTTATAGGTGGACACAATATCTTTATTTTATTTTCATGTGGTGCTTAGGATCAAACCCAGTGCCTCTCGCATGCTAGATGAGCGCTTTACCTTTGAGCCATAACCCCAGCCCATAATCTTTTTTTTTGTTTTAAGAGAAGGAACCTACAGAAGGAGGGGAATACCTTCAATATAGTTCTGACATTTCTTTTTCCTTTTTCTTTTTTATTTCTTATAGGTTCTTTTCAGTGAAAACATTAGGAGTCATTTTGACATAATGGTAAAAGCAGGGAATATAATTTGCTTTAATTCAATCCCAGTACTTTCCCCTTTCTCTTCCCTCCTCCTTTCCCTGGTTCTATTCCCTCCACTCTGTGTGCTAATTTTGACTGAGAAGTAGGTTGGTAAAATCAGGAATGCTTTTGTATAATCATACCTTTAAAATATTCATATTCTAGATTATACATACTTTTAATTATCATAAAACTGATTTTCATATTCATGCATAATTAGCCCTTGTTAAGTTTTCTAAGAATATCCTGTACACATCCTTGAGTGTATCCCTGCTTCTTTCTCAGTTTAAATGCTAATGTCAATTTGTTTATTTTTT